TCGGCAGGAAATGTACTTATTATCGTATTTTACTTTGTTGTGGCCACATTTGCAGGAAACATCAATGGTGTATCCAACTTCACTTGTAGAAGAGCAAGCAGCTTGCATGGTTGAGTTTTCACACCTCTTGCATCTACAATTGCGGGAACAAAAATGCCCGAAATCACGCAGGGACAATGGCTGTGTCCCTTGTCGTCCTTTGTACAAGACGCCTTTTCGCTATCCTTGGCATTGTTCTTTCCACAAGAGCATACTTTATTGGTAGTTTTTGAGTTTAGTCCTTGGAAACAGAAAAAACAAAACAAAAAAAAAGTGAAATTAGGCTGCATGGGGAAGGGGAAGTAAAACGGCAGTAACCCATTAAATAAGCTTGGAGGAGAGGGAAGGGGAAGGTGAGGGTTGGAAAAAAGTTGTAGACTAATAGCGCTTATTGATTGGCTTGTAAAATTTGATAGTTTTGAAAATTCTGCTAGAGGCCAAAAATCTTACCAATGTTGGCTTCATTTACGGCCGTCCCATCGTAGTGTCCTGGACCAAAAGCAGTATACCCTATGTAGATGGCTCGGTCAGTGACAGCGTCATCAGGAATGAAGGGGACAAATGGAGTGCCATTGAGACTAGTGACGACAATAATGGGTATTCGGAGAAGATCAGAACAAACTTTTATAACCAAATCTCCTACATCACCACAGAATGAATTCTGATCCCGAAATCTTTCTGTTTCAGCATTCATGTCAGAAATAGGAATTCCGGTTAGCATTTGGTAGTAGTCGTTGCTTTGAACGCTATCAACGAAAAGTTGTCGGAGATGGAACACATCTTCATTGATACTTTTTCCTAGTCGCAGTTTAAGGCAGTGAAGACGGAGAGCTGATTCCTCGTCATTCCACTCCTGGGTTTTTTGAACTTGCACAATGATGCTTCTGAAGGCACAATCACCATCTCCACTGACTGGGTCTATACGTAAATTGAAGGAAGCGAGATGTTTTAGAAGCAATTGACGATGGTTGACATCAGTGTTTTGTGAAACGTCTTCATCTGTGATTAAAGTTTGTTTTACACTGCTGAGCTGCATGAGTGGCACATCGTATGCATTGAAACATCGGTCTTGACTGTCTTTATTGATGTTTTCTAAGATACTTCGTAATTGTGTCATGTTCTTTAATAGTAATTTGGTGACAGTTTCATTACACATGTCCTGTACATCGCCAATGACAACTATCTCATCCTGAGAAATGCTGTTGGTTACTGTATCAGCGTTGTTATTAGCACCATTAGTGTTCCACACACAATCCAACTGTACCTGTTCTGGGATATCTGACCCGAGATGTGCACCTGCCATGTATTCATTTAAATCACTGTCTTCTGATCCATGCTTGATGAGGGGAATGAATGGGACTATTCGCGAGTTTCTGCAATGTTTTGTACCTCTCTGCTTACAGTTAATGCTCTAGAATAAAGGAGTGATAACAGCAATTGCTAATTCTGGGCCTATTGTGGTAGCACCACACAGCAGTGATCTGTTCAAGACGTGATGAAGGCTTTCGTTAGATTCTGTGCCTTCGCCCGGATTTAAGTCAGACAAGCAACCCTTCCTTATGCGTCGACGTAAATGGTCGATTTCAGTCAAAGTTCGTTCCATGTTATCTTCATTCAGAAACGTTTGCCATCTTTTCACAAAGTTTTCTAAATTTTCTATCATGACTTCCGGATGAGGTGTGGGCATTTTACGGACTTCACTAGAATCTTCTCTGGCTCGGAATATCATCCCAAATTCTTTAGAAAACTTTTTTGACAATTCTGTTCCCTTTGGAAATTGTTTTCGTTACTCGTTGTACCGCGTGGAATAAGTCGAGTTTGACCTCCACGTCAGGAAATACCGACTGATAAAGTGATCCTACTTTACAGCAGTCATCTACGATAACACGGGTTACATCTATCTCCTGTTTTAATTCCTGTAGTAACGAGCGGATTTCCTCAAAAGATGTCGACGTAATTAACCGCCATCCAATAATCTGGTGGTTTTCGTTTAAAACTATGAAAAGATTTTCAAATTGTTTCACAAATTTATTGTCAGTGGTCCTCCTTGCTCCAATAAACTTGCTAACCCTGAAGGTGTGGTCGCATGAAATTATCCTGCTTCCTAATACAC